AAAAAAAAAAAAAAACAAACAAAAATCTAAGTGATTAAGAAAGATCAAAAATAAAAGGCTGGCCTAAAGTATTCCATGTAGATGCAAATCAAAATTTAAAAAGCAGGGATCATATTTTTTATCTAAATAAATAAAATTCTGGCCAATTTGCATTAAACAACACTAAGTTCATTTAAATGCTACCATGTACAATTTCTTTTTTTATTATCTTTTTCATGTTTATTTATATTTGAGAGAGAGAGTGCACAAGCAGGGGAGGGGCAGAGAGAGAGATGGAGACAGAATATGAAGCAGGCTCTGGGCTCTGAGCTGTCAGCACAGAGCCCAAAGAGGGGCTCAAACCCACAAGCCGTGAGTTCATGACCTCAGCCAAAGCTGGACACTTAACCGACTGAGCCACCCAGGCGCCCCAACAGGGTGCAATTTCTAATAAAAGGCATTACATTATAAGTATATGCGCACCAAATAATTCATATAGTAACCAAAGGGAATAACAGGCATACACAAAGAATAAGAGATAATAATCCACCTCTTTTCATCCGTGAAATATCAAGTATAACCAAAAGGGATATGAAGAACTAAATAACATAATTAATGAACTAACTCTAATTGATGTATATCAAAGTGCAATGTACTTCTCAATAACAGAACTGATCTATTTGGGACAGCAGTGTGCCCAGCTAAAATACTACATTCCCAGACTTCCCTGCATCTTGATGTAACCACATGACTAAGCTCTAATTAATGATGTGGAAGAAGTATCATGTGGACTTCTGGGGAATCTCCCTAAAAAGAAAAAGGCATCCCCTTCCTCTCTTTCACTATCCAGAAAACGTAGATATGATGGCTCAAGCTTAGCATCACCCTGGACCATGAAGACAAGGGCATGTAAACAGTGAATATGAAACATGTTTCTAACAACTTTGTAAAACTACCATACTAGCCCTGGACTGCTTAACAGTAGATGTGTATTTATGCTGTTATAGTTGGGTGTCTGTTATATGTGCCTGCACCTAATTCTGATAGAAATAAACCTGAAAGCAAAGAATGTCCAAAGAACATTCACCAAAATTGACCATATATTTTAGGACATACACATACATAAGCCAAACTCAAGAAAACAGATGGAGGGATTAGCCTAAAGCAGGAGAAGGGTCATCTCTTCCTTTTGAGACTAGAAGGAGACCAGGTGCATATACAGGTAAGTTTGTAGATGTTGGGCAGAAGGTCAAGGGCTTCTCCCTGCTTCATCACCTCAGTTTTCTCCATGAAACAGGAGCCAGAAAGGTTTTGGAAGGTAGGGGAGGAAGTAGAGGTTTACGAGATTTGCATGTTTAGAATGCCACTACATTCTAGGGGATAAGAGAGGAAGTTGAGAAGAAACGCAAGATTGTTGATGCTTTGGGGTTTTGTTTTTGTTGTTCTTCAGATCAAAGAACCATATTTTCACTTTCAACCCATGACCAGATTAGCCAAACTTAATGACCATGTATAAAGGGAAAAAATTAAATGGGTAAATTCAGAGGCTCATTAAGTTGGAAAAGTAATCTAGACATAAAGTAATGAAAACACTCCTTGTCAGCTCCCTTAGAGCTTGGAGCTAAGGAACAAGAAGCAGATTTGTATGCCTCAAACCAGATCCCTGTGTATCAAGGATAAAAACCTCTAATTGTGGGAAGAAAGCCAAAACAAATTCCCAAATAAATGTTAAAATAAACTCAAAATTAAACTAACAATTTAGTCAAAAGTCCCTAATTTATGGCTCGGTGTGTACCTCTTACTGATTTATACCAATGATGAATTAATACTAACTTAAATGCTTTTGTTCGCTTAATAGGAAAAAGAAAGTTACAATAGTAGCTAAAAAGAAAAGTGTTATCAACTCACCTTAAGAATACTGTGTGAGACTTAAGAGAGCATCACCATCTGGTGGCAGACTCGTGGTAACGACAGTAAAAGAGGAAAGAAATGGACAGTCTCTGTTACTGACAATATATATTGTGAGCGACCAAAAGCTTAGACCAAAGCTGATGACCAAAAAAAGCAGTACCATAAGCACTTAATTTCCAATTTAATAGATTAGTAGAATTTTTCTTTAGAAGGATGACCTAGAATCAAGATTTAAGACTTAATGTAATATTCTGTATAGTACAGAAATCCTATCTACAAAATTCTTGAATTACAGTATATTTCCTCTGCTAAATATCTGTAGTGATAATAAGCTTATTCCCTGGACACTATAGATTGTGAGCTTGAACTTTAAATATTTTGTGTCATTCAGCCAGAAAATCTAATTTTGCAATCTGATGCAACATAGGAGAACCCTATAATATCTTCTACAGCCTGACTTCAAATATGTCTCTCTTATTTCGCTCTTTTCCATTACAAATACACCCTTTTCCTCAACCGACTTGGTTTCTAAACCCCTTACATCTTGGTCTTCCAGATTGTTCAAATATTCCTTGATTTGTCAACATTTATTTTTATTGCAATGCCCAAAACAGAACCAATTTTCCCACATGTAGCCTAGCCAGCAGAATATAGGTACTTCTTTTAATGCTACCCATGTTTACCCTGCAGATTTTAGTAGCTGTGTCACACTTCAGCTCATATACTTTCGTCACAATTATTCTTGAATAGCTCTATATTATATGGTGAAGAGTAAACTAAGTGTTGGGGTAGACTGAGTAGATTTAAGGACAAGTATTTATTCCTGAAAGTATATCCCTAACCTCAGCTAACTCTTTCCTACAAACTTCCACGATAAACCTAACAAAAGATAAAAGACGGGCAATAAAAGGATGCTTTCATGATCACCACTATGTTTAGAGACACTAAACATAAGTTTTTTGACAAGTTTTACTGCTCAGACCAGACTTCTGATGGTGACATAGCATCACACAGCAAGGGAGTGTAATTAGGGTCTACATTTATCTCCCTGAATTAGAAATTGTAAACCAAGGATAGCATTGGCTTGTGTGGCAATATAATAAAGCAAACAGTGGTGTTCTCAGTGGTAAAATGCTATTGAGATTTTTTCCACGGGGTGTTTAGGCAAGGGAGCTAGAGGTGAAATATTTTTTTGGCAGCAGGATAATAAAATCTTCTACAGAGTGGGTCACCCCACTTAGAGCAATGCTATTGGTAACTCTCTAGACAGATGTTTAATACAGATCACTATTAAATGTCTGTTAAGTGGATATTTATCATAACAAAGTTTTTTAATTTGACTTCTCATTCTCTTCACATTTCTCAGGATAACATATGTGCCTATATGAACATATGATACAGATATGACTCAAAACATTTTTACTATGAACACAGAAAAAGAAGCATTACATATATATATTATTTCAGCTATTATGTAAGTGGCTACATATGAGAATCTATATGAAACAAACAGTATGTGAAAAAAAAAGATATTTTATTAGAAATCAAATAATTCTTGATCAGTTTATTTCTATGATTAAAATTTAGCTTTATTATTTTTGTTTTTATGTTTCAGGGACTTTGAAGGCAACCATATCCATAATTTAAGAAATTTGACTTTTATTTCCTGCAGTAATTTAACTGTTTTGTAAGTAGTGTTTTATCCTTTTGATGGCCTATCTCTTTACAAACAAAATGAATCATTTATGTGAACATTAGTTAGCATAAACATGCACAGTAATTATGGCAAATGTTCACTGATGACTTAAAATTTTCTGAAACTGAAGCATATTGGCAAAATTATTGGAGTTCAAACCAAGCTTAACAAAGATTCACAACATAACATGGATCATCGCAACGGTACTGTATTATTTGAGACCTGTTTTTCTCGAACTTAAGTGATACCCACTTTAATGGAAAGAAATGTTCACAGACCACCTAAAATCTCTCCTTGGATCTCAGTTTGAGAAACACCAAATTAGTCGTATTCTATAAGAATGTTTGCCCTTTGCAAATTATTTACTGTAAAGATTGTGGGGACAAATTGAATTACAACTAAATTTTTTTTTAAAACACTGCAGAATGTCTACACCCCTAACGCTATAATTGTGGACACCAGGATAAACTCTAGAATGTTACTGGGTAGGGGCGCCTGGGTGGCGCAGTCGGTTAAGCGTCCGACTTCAGCCAGGTCACGATCTCGCAGCCCGTGGGTTCGAGCCCCGCATCAGGCTCTGGGCTGATGGCTCAGAGCCTGGAGCCTGTTTCCGATTCTGTGTCTCCCTCTCTCTCTGCCCCTCCCCCGTTCATGCTCTGTCTCTCTCTGTCCCAAAAATAAATAAACGTTGAAAAAAAAAAAAATTAAAAAAAAAAAAAAAAAAGAATGTTACTGGGTATAATTTCTCCATCTGCCTCTCCAGCCTATTTTTTTTATTTATTTATTTTAATGTTTATTTACTTTTGAGAGAGAGAAAGGGACAGAGTGCTCATGGCAGAGGGGCAGAGAGAGAGGGAGACACAGAATCTGAATCAGCTCCAGGCTCTGAGCTGTCAGCACAGAGCCAGACGCTAGGCTCGAACTCATAGAATGTGAGATAGTGACCTGAGCCGAATCAGACACTTAAAGAGCTAAGCCACCCAAGCGCCCCTATTGGCCTATTTTAAATTCACATGGCTTTTCCCATGAAAGTGAAGGATGCTGATGTGTCTTGCGATATGAAAACACAACTGCCTCATTTACAGTTTCTCAGATCAGTGTTTTTCAAACTGTGGGTTCAAACTCACAAGTGGATGATGAAAGCAATATGGTACCTCCTGATTAGCTTTTTTAATGAAAGTTGAATTGAATTGGGTAAAAATGTAGTAGCACAATTTGGGTCATTAAATGTATTGTTTTATAAATCTTGGCTCGTGTGGGTGTTTGTCGTGTCCCAACGTAAAATGCATTTTTTTAAGTGTAGTTACCATGGGAAAAGTTTGAAAACCATTATACTAGAATCCGTCTGGAAACCACACTAGAATCCATCTAGAAATCCATACTAGAAACCAAAATACTAGGACCCCTGTGTACAGGCAATGCAATAGTTACCACTGATACAATAACTTTTTCTCCAGTATGCTCCCCCCATTCCAATGGGTTCAGGTCACTGAGATGTTTGAACTCTTGTGCAATGAGCTCAGCAGTCTTCCGGTGCAGGATGCTTCTATATCAGTCATGCAAAAAACAGTTCCTACTAACTGCCCAAGGGAAACCAAATTGCAACTAAAGGCCATAGACCAAATAGATACTTGAAAAACTTACAACTTCTTTGTTGTTCTACTTGTATTTGTTTTTAAAGAAGCCTCTTTGTGAAGATATCATTTGTGAATTTCCTCTTGGCAGGTGCTTGCTCTTTTCTGGTCTAGAGATCCTGGCAGGAGATGAAAATGGTTTGGAGAGCTGAAAGGAAATAAATACTTTAGGATGGGACAAGACAAACCTCCAGGGTCGTGCCTCACAATGTTTAAAGAATTGGAAACGTTCAGAACACATAAGATCAGTGCAGAAATGAATCAAGGGGTGCCTGGGTGGCTCAGTCTGTTAAGCATCCAACTTCAGCTCAAGTCATGATCTCACAGTTTGAGGGTTTGAGCCCTGCATCGGGCTCTGTGCTGATAGCTCAGAGCCTGGAGCCTGCTTTGGATTCTGTGTCTCCCTCCCGCTCTCTCTCTCTCTCTCTCTCTCTCTCTCTCTCTCTCTGCACCTCCCCTGCTTGTACTCTGTCTCTCTCTCAAAAATAAATAAACTTGAAAGAAAGAAAGAAAGAAAGAAAGAAAGAAAGAAAGAAAGAAAGAAAGATAGAAATGAACTGGTCAAGAATTATATACAGTCTGATTCAACATCCCAAACTAGAGATCTTCTGAATTGGTCCAGCTTAGATTACACTTCCTTAGGTAACTCCACTCTAAATCACATCAACTCCAATGTGTGTGAGTGCTCGTGTGCAGGGTATTCTGTTAGACATGCGATACAGGCTGGAGAAGAGGCAGTTCTATAACAGCTCCCTGTGCTCTCGGTTGCATGATATTCAGTCTGTTTTCTCAAGCGTTGAAGTTTTCACTAACTCCCTTGCAGAATTCTTCCCTACCTCACTTAAAAAATCAAATAATTTTTTTTCATCATTAAAAATTTTGAGAAATTTAAGACTAAAACAAGACTGGGTAATTTCTCATACTACAAGATACTTGATGTGCAAATCACTATATATAATTATTTCCTTTTTTTAGGCTGTCAATCCTCTCTCCAAAAACTCATTTATCACTTACCTCAAAGAGCTACAACATATTTTTCTTTTTACTTTCAGGGTAATGAGGAAAAACAAAATTAACCATCTAAGTGAAAATACTTTTGCACCTCTACAAAAGCTAGATGAATTGTAAGTTTGATTATGCATATATTGATAAGACTTTTCTTTCTATTGTTTTAGTTCACACTTGTTACATATATATGCTTTTATACATTTGAGAAATATTTATCTCTTTTCCTAGCATTATCTGTATACACTTTGAACCATAAATGAACTCAGACAGCTTAGAAAAATACACTTTAAAATATATATAAAATAAGTATTGAGGAAAATGAGATTTTGTTTTTCTTTTATTTTTGAGAGAGACAGCATGAGCAAGGGACGGGCAGAGACAGAGGAGGACATATGATCCGAAGCGGGGTCTATGCTGACATCAGCAAGCCAGATGCAGGGCTCGAACTCACAAACCACGAGATAACGACCTGAGCTGGAGTCAGATGCTTCACTGACTCAGCCACCAAGGTGCCCTAAGGAAAAGGAGATAAAGGAAACATAGCTAAATAATAAAGTCAGGGTAAAATTAATAAATAAATTACATCCTCTGTCCCATTGCTAGAGAGGAACAGCACATTTGTTTTTAAGTTTCCTAAAGAGTTAGGATTCAGAGACCTTAAAACAAAAAGACATACTTTGCTAATTCTAGAAACAAAAGATAATCTTGGATCCAAAAGAAATCAGACATCCTTGGATAACATCCCAGCCTATAATAATGGAAGAGAGACATAAGTTGAATCAGCTATTTATAATGTCCCTTTTTTAAGATCAATGACAGAATTCCAAAGAGTATTAAAAACAACTCTCTGATAAACCAAAGCTTTGTGGCCCAAGCACATAGTAGCTGATTGTCAGAATAAAATATATATTGAGCAATGGATGAAGTCCGTGTTCTTCGGACAATTTTTTTATGTTTTAGTATTAATTTTCTCAATTGGATTTTTGCTGAAGTTTGAGCTAACAACTACGGTTGACCCTTAAACAACATAGGTCTGAACTGTGATGGTCCACTTGTACCTGGATTTTTTTCAGTAAATACAGCACAGAACTGTAAATGTATGTTCTCTTCCTTATGACTTTCTTAATAACACTTTATTTTTTTCTAACTTCCTTTATTGAAAGAATACAGTATATAAGACATATAACATACAAAATATGTGTTAATTCACTGTTTATGTTATCAGTAAGGCCTCTGGGCAACAGTAGGCTATTAGTAGTTAAGTTCTGGGGAAGTCAAAAGTTATATGTGGACTTTCAACTGCATAGGGGTAAGGCGGTCAGCACCCCTAACCTCCACATTGTTCAAGGGTCAGCTGTAGTTTGGTTTTGTGTTTTCTGGAAAGAATCTGGATTGTGGACACATCAACATGTTTTGACAATAAGCTGGGCAGAACATTAAGTATTAAAACTTTTCCATAAAAAAACTAAAGAATGTAAACTAGAATGTTTCTCTGGATACCTTACCTACATACTGAGACAGATGGAGGTAATTTATATGCCGCATTCTGCTTGAAAACATCAATAAACAAGCCATTGAAACCCCCAATTTTTTCATAACAATTAGCCTGAAACATTTTTTGGTAGGCAGTAGCAATCATTCACTAAATGTGCAAGAAAATCTCAATAGGTATTAGACCCAAGCAAGTTTTGTAACAACTCTTGGTATTTGGCAACTGAACCACATCATCAGTAAATAGGAAATTATTTTATTCTCAATACTAAGGAGACGTGCAAACAGGTGATCCAAAGTTATTATCTAGGTATTAAAATACAAGTTAGTCATGGGATCCATACTTTTCCTTGTTTTATCCTACTTGCAACCACTGTGTGAGTATCAGAAAGCAGTTCTCCAGGGGCGCCTGGGTGGCTCCGTCAGTTGAGCGCCCAACTTCAGCTCAGGTCATGATCTCACAGTTTGTGAGTTCGAGCCCCACATCGGGCTCTGTGCTGACAGCTCAGAGCCTGGAGCCTGCTTTGGATTCTGCGTCTCCCTCTCTCTCTGCCCCTTCCCCGCTCATGCTCTGTCTCTCTCTGTCTCTCAAAAATGAATAAACATTAAAAAAAAAATTTTTATAAAAAAAAAGAAAGCAATTCTCCAAATCCTAACTTTCATGGTGACATTAAGGTGCAGGTTCTATGTGAGTATCAATAACCAGCAGGGAACATGAAACACAAACAGTGAAGTCCATAACCAGTGCTAATCCAGGTTCAGGGGTAAAGGAATGAGCAAGAAAACCTGCAGAGAGAATAACCAAGGCAAATCATTAGTCCTACCAAAAGCCTGCTGAATCCCATATTAAACACTGGCTTGAAAAATCCGATTTCCAAGGATGAAAATGGTATGTTTTCTAAGAGGCAATAGTTTAAAATGGGTGGTTCTAGGGGCACCTGGGTGGCTCAGTCAGTTAAGGAGCCGACCTCAGCTCAGGTCCTGATCTCACAGTTTGTGAGTTCTAGCCCCAAGTTGGGCTTTGTGCTGACAGCTCAGAGCCTGAAGCCTCCTTCAGATTCTATGTCTCCCTCTCTCCTGCCCCTCCCCCATGAGCACTCTGTTTCTCTATCTCTCAAAAATATCAATCAATCAATAAGTTTTAAAGAACCTCAAATCTAAAACTATCATGCCCTTCAAAGTTGAATAATCTCACTTTTGATTTATAAGCACTCCAACTCATGTAACAAATACATACATTCTCCTACTTTTCCTTGTGGAACTAATAGAATTTGGAGATGGGTAGGGAAAGTGGTTAGGCTTTATCTTAGCATCTCTTGATCACTTTGGAGAACTAAAACCTATTGAAATGTTATCTTGTTTAGAAGAATCTGAACCTTTTTCATGAGTGCTGCCACCACCAAAGCTACCACAAGATCTGTTACCTTCACAACCCTTCTTACAGGGGCTTCTGGGTGGCTCAGTCAGTTGAGCATCTAACTCTTGGTTTCGGCTCAGATCATCATCTCACAGTTCGTGAGTTTGAGCCCCACATTGGCTCTGCGCTCACGGTGTGGAGCCTGCTTGGGATTCTCTCTCTCTCTCTCTCTCTCTCTCTCTCTCTCTCTCCGTGCCCATCCCCTGCCTGCTTTCTCTCTCTCTCAAAATAAATAAATTTAAAAAATAAAATAAGACAAAAAAAACCATTCTTACAAGGTCATACTAAGCTACAAGGTCATACTATGCTAGGCAGCCTAACTTCTACACATACACCCAAAGTATCCTGCCCCAAGAGCATATGAGATCCCATGCATGTCACCTGTGAAAGATGCTTGCCCCCACAAGAATCCACTTCCATTTGGTAATCATAATAAACCCAAGCAAATGAAAAAATTAAGGCTCCAAATTATACTACTGCTCCAACGCAAAAGGTTGAAGGGAATGAAGGAAAGGGGAAAAGAGGCACAACACATATATTAATTAAATTAGAAAATTGGATCTGTTGGGATAAGATCAAATACCATCATGCATTTGTCTCTGAAAAAGTTATGAAATGGGTTATTCTTCAAATTTTTTTTTAACGTTTATTTTTTTATTTTTGAGACAGAGAGAGACAGAGCATGAACGGGGGAGGGGCAGAGAGAGAGGGAGACACAGAATCGGAAGCAGGCTCCAGGCTCTGAGCCATCAGCCCAGAGCCTGACGCGGGGCTCGAACTCATGGGCCATGAGATCGTGACCTGAGCCGAAGTCGGACGCTTAACCGACTGAGCCACCCAGGCGCCCCCAAAATGGGTTATTCTTATATTTTCTTGTTATACTCCTTTTTTAAAACGTTTAGACTTCTGGTAATTAATATAACTCACTAATAGCACTGTTTAAAGTTGTATAATGGTTCCCTAACAAATTGCAGTACAATCAATAAAGTCTTAAGAAAATAATATGACATGGTTGCAATTATTTCTCTAGGGATTTAGGAAGTAATAAGATTGAAAATCTTCCACCGCAAGTATTTAAGGATCTGAAGGAGCTCTCACAATTGTAAGACTGATACTAATTTTGTCACTTCATTTCTCTATTTTTAATTTCTTTTATTTTTTAAATTGTAATAATATCTGTAACATAAAATTTACCAATTTAACCATTTTTAAATGTACAGTTCAGTGGCATTATGTACATTCATATTGTTATACAACTATCACTTCCATCTCCAGAACTTTTTCATCCTCCCAAACTGATACTCCATACCTATAAAACAATATTTCCCCATCACCTCCCCTGACTGACATCTCTCTTCTGTATTTATTAATTTGACTACTGTAGGTACCCATTAGGTGGAATCATTCAATATTTAAGCTTTTGTGACTGGCTAATTTCACTTAATATAATGTCTTCAAGGTTCATACTTGTTGTAGCATGTGTCAGAATTTCTGGTTATTACTCTGAATAATAGCATTAATTAGTAATAATACTATTCTAAATAATTCATTATGTGTGTGTGTGTGTCTGTGTGTGTGTGTGTGTGTATGTATATATATATGAATATACACAAAGAGAGAGAGAGAGAGAGATACACACATATATACACATATAAACATAAACATTGTGTTTATTCATTCACCCATTCATGGATACTTGAGTTCCTCCCACCTTTTAGCTATTGTGAATAATACTGCTATGAACATGGGTGTACAAATCCCTGTTTGAGACCTTTCTTTCAATCCTTTTCAGTATATAGCCCCAGAAGTAAAATTGCTGGATCATACGGTAATTCTATTTTTAATTTTTTAAGGAAACAACATACTGTTTTCCAAGCAGCTACACCATTTTACATTCCCACTAGTAGTGCACAAGAATTCCAATTTCTCTACATCTTCAACAACACTTTTTTGGATAATAGCCATCCTAATGGATGTGAAATGATATCTCATTGCGGTTTTGATTTTCATTTCCCTAATGGTTAGTGATGCTGAGCACCTTTTCATGGACTTATTGGCCATATATCTTCTTCGAAGAAATGTCTATTCAAGTCTTTTGCCTATTTTTTAAATTGGGTTGTTTTTTGGTGTTGAATTATAGGAATTCTTTATGTATTTTAGATATTAAATCCTTTTTAATATATGATTTACAAATACTTTCTTCTATATTCTGTAAATTGCCTCTCCACTCTGTTGATGGTCTCCTTTGACACACTGAAGTTTTTAATTTAGATGTAGTCCAATTTTTCTGTTTTGTTGTTGTTGTTGCCTATGCTTTTGGTGTCATATACAAGAATAATGCTTAATCCAATGCCCTGAAGCTTTTCCCCTATGTTTTCTTGTAAGAGTTTTATAGTTCTAGCTTTTATATTTAGGTCTTTCATCCATTTTTAGTTAATTTTATACATGATGTAAGGTATGGTTCTAAGTTCATTCTTTTGTATGTGAATAGCTATCTGGTTTTCCCAGCACCATTTGTTGAAGACTGTCCTTTTCCCATTAAATAGTCTTGGTGCACTTGTTGAAAATCACTTGACCGTATATACAAGGGTTTATCCCTGTGCTCTCTATCCTACTGCACTGGTCTGTATGCCTGTCTTTGTAACGGTACCACATTGTTCTGATTACTGTAGCTTTATAATAAGTTTTGAAATTAGGAAGTGTGAAGCCTCCGATTTTGTTCTTCTTTTTCAAAGTTGCTTTAGCTATTCAAGGTCCCTTGAGATTTCATGCAAATTTCAGAATGGATTTTTCTATCTCTACAAAATATATTAGGATTTTGATAGAGATTGCACTGAATCTGTGGGTCACTTTGGGGAGTATTGACATCTTCACAACATTAAGTCTTCTAATCCATAAACATAGAATGTCTTTCCATTTACTGGTATCTTTGTAAATTTGTTTCTGCAACACTGTACTTTCAAAGTCAAGTCTTTCACTTCTTTGGTTAAGTTTATTCCTAAGTATTTTATTCTTTCAATGCTATTGTAAATGGAATTATCTTTTGAATTCCTTTTTTGGATTGTTCATTGTTAGGGTAAAGAAACACATTCAATTTTTGTGTGATGGTTTTGCATTTGGCAACTTTCCTGAACTTTATTATAAGTTCCAACAGTTGTGTGTGTGTGTGTGTGTGTGTGTGTGTGCGCGCGCACGCGTGTGCACGAGCATGCAAGCTTTAGAGTTTTCTACACATGGTTTCATATCATCTGCAAACAGAAATAATTTTACTTCTCCCTTTCCATTTTGAATGCCCTGTTTTTCCCTTGCCTAATTACTCTGACTAGGGCTTCCAGTACTACGTTAAATAGAAGAAAAATGGATTATCCTGGTCTGGTTACTGATTTGGGAGGAAAAAATTTCAGGCTTTTACCATTAAGCATGATATTAGCTGTGGGGTTTGCATAGACAGCCTGTATTGTGTTCAGATAATTTCCTTCTAGTCCTAGACTGTTGAGTTCACTTTGTTCCTTTATACAACTCAGTTTTCATTTGTCTTTCTTCCTCTCTTTCCTTCTTTCTGCAATCACCACTCCCCAATAGCTCCTCCATTTAACTAATGGTCTAATCTAGAATAAATTTCTAAAAGAATTTGCCCTGAGAAGCCCCTTTAATCAATGATTCTTGTTTCAATGCTTCTTGTTTGTTTTTTGTTTTTTTCAAAAAGGATTATGAAATTTTTTCCATCAGAATTCAGCTGCACTGTCATTCCGGTCTATATCTCTTTGTTCCCAGCTCTAGCCTTTCACTGTTCATTTCATGCCTCACAAATCATTAGAACAAACATCACTCTTTGGAATAAGATTTATTGGAAAAAGTATTCAGGGTAATTCTATTAATTCAATTTTTGACAAAATGAGATTGTGTTTTCATTTAACTAAATGAGAACCTAGGCAAAATGTGAGGTATGTGTGGTTTCTCTCAGGGTACCCTATCACTTCGTTGGTGAGAGCCATTTCTTGACTAGTTCACTTCCATTCTTATGTTGTATTAGCTCCCTCTCTACACTAACAAAATCCTAAGAGCCAGGCACTATTCTAAGTGTTTTATCTCCATTAATTTCTGTAAATATTTAATGAGCTCTGTAAGGCAAGTGCTATTACTACACTTGTTTTCTTGGGTTTTTTTTTTGTTTTTTTTTGTTTTTTTTTTTGGTACCAAAGTCGAGATACATTTTCTCTTTGCTTAAGAAGTTTCTAGAAATGACCTACTGCTGCCTTTTTTTAAAAAACAGGAATCTTTCCTATAACCCAATCCAGAAAATTCAAGCAAATCAATTTGATTATCTTGTCAAACTCAAGTCTCTGTAAGTATATACCTATGGGGATAGTTTTATGATGAAATCATTATTTATATACTGACTAATAAATTCTGTAAGATTTGTAGAATCTTTCAAATCAGAAGCGCTTTTCCAGGATGTTAGTTAAGTGCCACCAAACCATGTGAGTGCTCACCATAAACCAACAGGTAGCTGTTAGTTTTATCTTACATGTTTATAAACTAAGAATTAGGTAATGATTTTATATTTTGCTGTAATCACCAGGAGTTTATATTGGATCATTTATTTTGATCCTCTGAAGGCATCTCTGCATATCTATTTCTCTACTAGCACTGGTATCTAAGAATTTATTATAGCTACTTTTAGCCAAAGATGCAATATTCTCTTATATAAATCATTATTTACACCACACACAAAAAAATCTTTTATGGTCTAACAATTGCCTCTAAAAGATGTCTCAGTTAATTTAATTTAAATGTCCCTCAGTTAGATGGCATCTTACTAGAAAAAAAATTGTTATTTAAGAATTATTAGAAAAATTTCAAAATGTAAAACTCCTCTGCTATTATAACGTTGTCTAAAAGATGTTTGTTCATTTATTCTACAAATATTTATTGAGTAGTTACTATACACAAAGCATTGTGTTATGATCTACAAGGATCTAAAACTTCAAATAGAAGAGATATATGTGTATAAATGCTAGAATCAGAAAGGAGTTGGGGAAGTAAGTGTGTAGGGCAGGCTGAGGATGAATGTTTGGTTCACAATCAGTGTTGACTGACAGTATCTTATTAATTGTCTATCACAAAAAGTCATTTTATTACACCCTTATAACATGTTATTTTGATAATTAATTTGGTATTTTTAGCAGCCTAGAAGGAATTGAAATTTCAAATATCCAACAAAGGATGTTTAGACCTCTAATGAATCTCTCTCACATGTAAGCAGATGTTTTCCTTGTTTTTCACCTTGATTTTAATCTTTTATGTTTCCATGTGCACTATGCTAATATATCCATACCCAATGCATCCAATCTATCAAATTTTCTAATTTGCCTAAACAATATTATTCTTAATGTGTTGCTATGGGGTGGGATGATTTTTACTGTTCCATGGTTTGGTAGAATCAAAGGTGATTTTTTTAATGTCAGAGAACATGAGTGTGGACGGAACCCACCCATTCCTATAAGCTCTCCTCAGCACTGACACCATTCATACATATTGATGTTTGCCTGAGGAGCTAGTAATTTGCACACATGGTATAAGTGCTACCAGATGAAAAAAATAAGAATTTACATAAGCAACACAAAATAACTATAAATAAACAATTGCTGTAAATGGAGGACAGTATGGAGAAATCCTCCTCAGTAAAAATTGCCTCCAATGTTAGGACATGATTGGAGCAAGTGTGTATGGATAAACTGGTAAACTTTGAAAAATCTTTTATTCAAACAGTGTGTATTATAGTACCATTGATTCCATGCTTTGGGAACATTTTCTTTAATTGAATGCAATCTTACAGCAGATATGAGAATGATCTCCATGCCAGGGTAATTAATTCTCAATAATTTACAAAGTGTCATGTCACCACTCTATAATTTCGCTTATGTTTTAAATCTCACACGGGACATTCTTTTTGTTTTTCCTAACTCCTCACAGAGGATGCTTTTAAAAGTTTCTTTGGTTGCACACAACTTAAAACACTCTGACTAAAGTAAGCCAAACATAGTTTATTGGGAGAAAATGGTGTAGCTCACAAAACCCAAGAAACAACTCAAGGAATAAACCTGAATTGGGGCAGAAACCATATCAGATCTAAGGGACTCAGGAAGGAAGGGTTAAACAATAGGACAATATACTGTGATTGACATGCTTTTATCTTGTATTGCTACAGCTGTCTATACTATAAAGATCATTTCTATTCTTTTGCCAGAGTACATAGCTTTAGAGCTATGTACTCTAAAGCTCTAATTAGATTTGAACTTCAATTTCTACATTTATTAGAAATTTCACAGCAAATAATTTGCCTCCATTGAATATTCATCTCCTCCTATGGTGATGTTAATACCTGTCCCATGGAGTTGACTGGAGAATTTATTCCTGATACGAAGATGCTGAATACGTGGTGTTGGTGTTGGTGGTAACAGTCATAATTATTGATCGACTTTATCAGTAAGATTAGTGTATTAATGAAAGAATTAACTCAACAAAACTTACTGAACACTCATCTAGGTACCAAAATCTGGTTGAGAGATAAGCATGTTAACACGTAGTTACAGATCACATAACTATATAGTAGAAAAGCCATGGAAGCATAAAGGAGAAAGCATATGGCTGTCTCTTCCCCGGAGGGCCAAACTGGTTTCAGCAACAATAGGAGCTGTGTAACAATGCACTCACCTGTACTAAACACTAAAAATGCAATAAAAGTTTCCTTTAATTCTCTTGATCACATGCTAACGGCTTGTTTATGTTTCAAGACACGCCTAACACTTGTATATTCATGATGGCCACTTGCTGCTCTGACCCTCAAACTCTTTTACAGTGAAATCAAGTTCACTTAGTGTCCTTAATGTTTTACATTCCTGTGAGTCTCATATTAAGATATTTTCTTTCTATTGAGAAAATGTAGAAAAGAAATATTAATGTATAATGGCACTGAATTAAATGTAAATTCTTCTTGTACTCTCGCTTTGTTCATCAGATATTTTAAGAAATTCCAGTACTGTGGGTATGCACCACATGTTCGCAGCTGTAAACCAAACACTGATGGGATCTCATCTCTCGAGAACCTCTTGGCAAGCATTATTCAGAGAGTATTTGTCTGGGTTGTATCTGCAGTCACATGCTTTGGAAACGTCTTTGTCATTTGTATGAGACCTTATATCAGGTCTGAGAACAGACTGCATGCCATGTCAATCATTTCTCTCTGCTGTGAGTATTTCCTGGTTGAAGAGGAATTACACTTTTGCAATATATGAAAGCACTGCTATTCAAAAATGAGTAAAAAGAGTGGTGCAATTATGAGATTTTAAGTCTTTCTCCTTTTTGCTTATATATTGTGTTCACATTCGTTGCAATGAAAATGAAATTCCTTTAGTGAGAAGAAAACACGTTTTTAAAACAAGAAAATTCAATTACCTTATACATATTAAAGAAGCTGTCATTCATTGGTTTTCTTCTCTGAAGACATTTTGTTAAAGCAGGTAAAATATTTTACTGTGAATAAAATGGCAACCTTTAATTTTTACATCCAGAGGTGTTTTGTTTGCATGTCCAGATATAGACATTGACTTAACTGATGGCTGTTTTTCTGGTCTCTGAGCTACTAAAATCTTTTCCATTCATTATTTGAAATATTTAAAAGAATTTTTTTAACATTTATGTTTGAGAGAGAGACAGAGCACTAGTCAGGGAGGAGCAGAGAGAGAGAGGGAGACACAGAATCTGAAGCAGGTTCCAGGCTCTGAGCGGTCAGCACAGAGCTCGATGTGGAGCTCAAACCTATGAACCGTAAGATCATGACCTGAGCCGAAGTCAGATGCTTAACTGACTGAGCCACCCAGGCACCCCCATAATTTGAAATATTTAAATAATAAAATGTTTTTAGGTAGAATTAAATATTTTTAAGTTTTTGAAATGTGATTGCGAGGTATTATGTTAAGTGAGGACTACAAAGAAAAATAAGCAAGACCAGTCCTCAGGTTTTTTATAGTGTGGGTCAAGTGGTCCATATTTTCTCCAGTGAGTATCAATCTATACAATGTTCTACTTTACGCATGCTGTCCATGTCTTACCCCCAGCCTCATTCAAAGTCTAATATCTAATTGGTTTTTTCACTGCAAGCTATCTAAGAAATAGAACTCAGAAATTGTTTACTACGTTGTATCATTAACTACAAAATTTTGAGTATGCTAAATTTCCCTGGTGAAGGCTAGAATATCACAGCAATATTTAAGGATTAGGGCCAGCCTTATGATTTATACAGTGATGTGATTTTTGGAAGGTTTGTATAGAATGCTTATAAAGTCAAAAAAAATCTCACCTACTCTCTGACATGAAATGTTCATTTAAAAAGCAAAATCACCAAGTAGTGCATCACATTGACAACTGATTTGGGGGATGGGAAAGCCTAAAAAGAGACAGAGAAAGATGTAAAAATGGAAGAGAGAATCAGAGAGAACAGGTTTGCTTAGACCAGCTCTGGGTAAATAACTTAAGCCCTCCAAAATTATACTGACTACAGAGCACTTCTTAATTATTCCTTTCTTCTAAATTATAGACCCCGAAATTCATAGTCATTAGTCTATCACAGCAAGTTCTGAATTACTTTCTCTAGGATTTTGGATGATATCCCTAGCATGTTAAGCTGGGAGCATTTCACTGGAAGAGGGGATCCAAATAACAACATCCCCATATTGGTCCCTAATCAAACGCTCAACATAATTGCATTTAATTCATTTACTCAACACTTCTAGGTAATGGGACCAGAATGGAAAACAAAATACACAATATCCCTGCTCACACAGACTTGAAAATTAGAAAAAACAAAAACAAAAAACAAAACAAAAACAAAAACAGAGAAATGATTACATAATTAACTGTAGATGGTGCTATAAGAGTACGTATTGAATAGAGCTGATGAAAAGGTCCTTATCCATAAACAAATTGTTAGAATAAAAATTACCTCCCCCCAAAGGGCACCTGGGTGGCTCAGTCAGTTGAGCATCTGACTTCAGGCTCAGGTCATGATCTTGGGGTTCACGGGTTCAAGCCCTACTTGGGTTCTGTGCTGACAGTATGGAGCTTGCTTGGGATTCTCTCTCCCAAAATACATAAATAAACATTAAAAAAAATTACCTCACCCCAAAATAGAAGTAAATTAGGTATTTTTTGCTAATACTAAAAATATTACTGTTTGTCATTAATTCTATTATACTTACTTATTTCTCTAAATTCGCAACATTTACTGATCCTATAGGTGCTGACTGCCTAATGGGAATATATTTGTTTGTCATTGGAGCCTTCGATCTCAAGTTTCGTGGAGAATACAACAAGCACGCGCAGCTGTGGATGGAGAGCATTCACTGTCAGATTGTAGGATCTTTGGCCATTCTATCCACAGAAGTATCAGTGTTACTTCTAACATTTCTGACACTGGAAAAATATATCTGCATTGTCTATCCTTTTAGATGTTTAAGACCTAAAAAATGCAGAACAATTACAGTTCTGATTCTCATTTGGATGACTGGGTTTATCGTGGCTTTCATTCCATTGACCAATAAGGAATTTTTCAAAAACTACTATGGCACCAATGGCGTGTGCTTCCCTCTTCATTCAGAAGACACAGAAAGTACTGGAGCTCAGATTTACTCCGTGGCAATTTTTCTCGGTAAGAAACTGTGTATTAGAAGCCCTTTCATTCAAATATTAGAATAAATCACATTTTCAATCTCATTATTTCTTCTAATGTTTATACATTTTTATTTCAGAACTTCTAGCCAGTTTTTCTCATCAACATTGGGGATGGATTCTGTCAGAATCCCCTAAAGGGATTTTTTCCCCCTGAATTACCACTTTCTTATATAAATTCCAACATGCTCCTTAATAAAAGACAAAACAGTAAATACTTATAGTTCATGCATTCACCCTAATAATACTAAACAAAATATATATTTAACTCTTTGCCCTTATAAGATAAATAAACTCAAAGTAGCCACCCACACAAGTCTTTGGCTTGAAAATAGACATACAAGTGTTTTTCTACTGTAAAAAATGTTTCAGGGGTAAGTTAAAAAAATGTGTGTGTGTATATATATATATATATATATACACACACTAATTGAATTATTTTAAAAAATTATAAAGATTAATTTAGAAGGCCCAGGATATTCACTGAATCACTATACTCTCATTTTAATATGCCATTTTTGATTTTTTTAATGTTTATTTTTGAGAGAGAGAGTACACGCGGGCCTGTCGGGGTTGGGGCAGAAGGAGAGGGAGACACAGAATCTGAGGCAGGCTCCAGGCTCTGAGCTGTCAGCACAGAGTCTGTGGCAGAGCTGAAACACACGAACTGTGAGATCATGACCTGAGCGGAAGTCAGATGTTTAACCGACTAAGCCACCCAGGGGCCCCTAATATGCCATTTTTAAATTAAAATTTTCATTCCACATTAGTTCAACAAAACTTCAAATTTTTTTAAAAAATCATTATTTTTCTTCTAATTCTTATAAAAAACAAAACACATGTTGTTCACATTCAAACAGCTAAGAGTATGTGTGTTTGTTTTGAAAGAATGATCATCACATTAATAATAATCTTTGTGTTCTAAATAGGTATTAACTTGGCAGCATTTATCATCATAGTTTTTTCTTATGGAAGCATGTTTTATAGCATTCATCAAAGTGCCATAACAGCAACTGAAATACGGAATCAAGTTAAAAAAGAGATGATCCTTGCCAAACGTTTTTTCTTTATTGTATTTACTGATGCATTATGCTGGATACCCATTTTTGTGCTGAAATTTCTTTCATTGCTTCAGGTAGAAATACCAGGTACAATGTTTTTTTTTTCTTTCTGTAAAGAAATAACAAGTCTCCTTCTGCAGTGTTCCTCCAAGAAAGAAAATTAAGATCCTTAACATCAACTCATTTTAAGAATTATAAGTCAGAGTTATATGTAACTTAGGCTCTGTTCATCAATCAAATGTTTACCAGGAGTAAGCTGTTCAATTATTTCCATAAATGCCCCAAAACCCTATTACCATTGAAGCAAAGAACAACTCAAATAAATAACACTCTATGCTTTGTAATTCTGATAATCCCATGCTTAAGATGACCAAACAGGTGAAAATGATTATCAAATATTTACTTCATTTTTTTTTGAGAACATAAGACATTTTTCTTCCTAGAACACATAGCAATTTAGAGAGCATGACGCCAGAGTGTGAGAGATGATTGAAGAATGCATTATTGGTATTTAAAAATAATGTACATCACACTCATTAGGATAGCTATTATCAAAAACACAGAAAGTAGCAAAAATTGGTGAGGATTTGGAGAAACTAGAGCATCACTGGTAGGAATGTAAAATAGCACAGCTGCTACAGAAAACAGCATGGTGGTTCCTCAAAAAATTAAACATAGAAATACCATATGACCCAGCAATTCCTCTTCTGGGAGTTAAAGGAATTAAAAGCAGGAACTCAAACAGACATTGGTTCACCTATGTTCATAGCAGCATTATTCACTATAGCCAAAAGGTAGAAATAACCTGTGTCCATCAATGTATGAATGGATAAGCAAAATGTATCCTATACACACAAAAGATTATTACTCAGCCTTAAAAAGGGAGGAAATTCGGAAACATGGTACCATGAATGGACCTTGAAGACATTATACTAAGTGAGATAAGTCAGTCACAAAAACACAAATATTGTATGATTCCACTTATATGACGTAACTAGGATAGTCAAATTCATAGAGACAGACAGTTTGTGAATGTGTTATCAGGTTGGGAGGGAAAGGGCATGAAAAGTTATTGTTTACATAGATGTGTAGTTTCAGTTTGGGAGGATGAAAAAGTTCTAGAGACGGACGGTGGTGATGGCTGTACAACAATATGAATGTACTTAATGCCACTGAACTGCACACTTAAAACTGATTAAAATGGTAAATTTTACTTTATGTATATTTTACTACAATAAAAAAGTGTCCAAAATGCTATTAATTGTAATACAGTATATATTCACATTCTTAAAATTTATGAACATACAATTTTAATTTTTTTTACCCCATGGTTAGGGTGATATTATCTTACATTTCATAAGCAACAAAGAAGGACAATAGCATCAGTAAAATTATAATAGCAAATATGATGAGTTACCTATGTAATACAGTGATTTTTAAGATAAGTTTAGCCAAAGATTTTTTTACTGAAATAAATATCTAGCCAAAAGCCTAAAAATGCATACCTGTTTTTAAAACCAAAAAAATAGCAGAAAAGAAATCTTTTAAAGACTGTATATTCTCAGAAATACTATATGTTCTATCCAGCAATTAAAATATTGGGAAAGGTTTGATCTGGATGCTAAACAATATTATTTTTCCTAAAATGGAATCATATCACAATAATATGTAATCACTTGGTAGAAAATGGTTCTACCTAATGGAATACTTTTGTTGATGTACTCAAGAAAAGCTACTTAGCAAAGAACCCTGTTTTTTTGCTCTACCAGCACTCCCTTCAAACACTGACACCCTGGAAAGACGTTCTGGAAACACATTAGATTTGGTATTTAATTATGTGACATCAAAGAGAAAAAATTAAGACTCAAAAGAGGACTGGGGGAAAAACAAGGAAAAGGGGCTTCTATACCTTGTAAACATCCACAAACACTAAAACTATCACATTTTTTCTCTTTCAGGTACCATAACCTCTTGGGTAGTGATTTTTATTCTGCCTATCAACAGTGCTTTGAACCCAATTCTGTATACTCTGACCACAAGACCATTCAAGGAAATGATTCATCAGTTTTGGTATAACTACAGAAAAAGAAGATCTATTGACAGCAAAGGAAGTCAGAAAACATATGCTCCGTCTTTCATCTGGGTAGAAATGTGGCCGCTGCAGGAGATGCCACCTGAGTTAATAAAGCCAGCTCTTTTCACAGACCCCTGTGAATTGTCACTAATTTCTCAATCAACTAGACTCAATTCCTATTCATAACGGACTTTGAAACCCATTTCTACACAGAGAATATTATGGGATGCTTCGTGATGGATTTATTAGTATAAAATGAATGCCACAAAATTAATAATTTATAATGGCTGAGATAAAACCATTACAAAGACATGAGGTTATTTGGGAAAAATCAAAGTGACTGATGCCCATATAAAGGGAAATAAATTATACTGATAATGTGTATATATTGGTACATATTTTGCATAGGAAATTAAGAGAAATCTATTTCAGAAAGACTCATTCATTCTTTTACTAGGCATTTATTGAGTACCCACTATGTGTATAGCACTGCAGTAAATTTCTGCAAGTATAGAACCTGGAAGTATAGAATAGTATGGAATCTTTTCAATTTGCAATGTTAAATTATGTTTAGCTACAACAGAATAGATGCAGCTCTTAGATGAAGGTAGAGCTTTATCTGTCGTGCACATAGCAAACATAATAATCATGGACACTTTTAAATAAAGATTTAAGGTTATGTAATACTCAATGTAATGAAAAATGAGAAATGAGAAAATGTCTGATTGTTTGCAAAATATTTTGTTTTAAAAATTCATCTTACCTCTCAAGTTGCTGTACATTTGAGAGGTAGTACAAGATATCTATTTCTATGAAAAAAGATATTCTGATAAACTCAAAAAAAGCATTTTACAGTCAACTAATTTTCAACAAAGATGCCAAGACAATCAAATGAGGAAAGTAATGTCTGTTCAAAAAACGATGCTGGGACAACTGGATATTCACATGCAAAAGAAGGAAATTGGACCCTTACCTTACACCATATATAAAAATTAACTCAAAATTAATCAACAACCTAAAAATAAGACAAAACTCTTAGAAGAAAACATATGAGTAAATCTTCAAGACCTTGGATTTAGCAATGGTTTGTTAGGTGTGTCAACAAAAGCATAAGCAACAAAGGGGAAAAAATTGATAAATTGGACTTCATCTAAATTAAAAACTTTTGTGTACCAAACAACACTATCAAAAAAGTGAAAAAGACGGGGCGCCTAGCTGGCTCAGTCAGTGGAGTGTACCTCTCAATCTCGGGGTTATAAGTTCGAGCCCCACGTTGGGTGTAGATTACTTAAAAATGAAATCTTTTTTAAAAAAGTAAAAGGACAACCTACAGAATGGAAGAAAATATTTGCAAATCATATATCTGAGAAGGTTTTAATATCCAGAATATATAAAGAACTCCTACAACTCAAACACAAGATGAACAAGCCAATTTAAAAGTGGACAAAGAACTTAAAAAGCCATTTCTCCAAACAAGATATACAAATGGCCAATAAGCACTTGAAAAGTTGCTCAACATCACTAATCATTAGGAAAATGAAAATTAGAACCACAATGAGATTACACTTTACACCTACTAAAAAGGCTGTAACTAAAACAACAAAAGACAAAGAAAAAAAGAGAAAACAAATACTGACAAGGATGTGGAGATTGAAACCCTTCTGCATTGCTGGTTGAAATGTAAAATGATGCAGCTGTTATCATAGACAGTAGTGTGGTGGTTCTTCAAAAGCTTATCATAGGATTAACATATGATCCAGCAATTTCACTCCCAGGTGTAAACCCAAAAGAATAGAAAACAGGATTCAAACAGACACTTGTATACAAATGCTCATTGCATTATTCACAGTAGCCAAAAGATGGAAACAACTCAAGTGCCCATCAACTAATAAACAGAAAAACAAAATGTGGTATATACATACAATGGCTAAAGCCATTTATAAGAAATAATAAAGTTCTGACACATGCTACAATGTGATGAGTATCAAATAACCCAAACACAAAAGGACAAATACCATATGATTCCACTTACATGAAATATCTAGGATAAGCAAATTCATAGAGATAGAAAATAGATTAGAGGTCACTGGGGGTGAGTGGGTCAGAAAGATGCTGCCTAAGAAGTACAGAGTATTTTCCTGGACAAAAAAAGTTATAAAATTGATTGTGGTGATGGATAAACAACTCTGTGAAAATGCAAAAAGCCACTGAATTGTAGATGTTAGACGGGTGAATTTTATGGTTTGTGAATTAGATCTCAATAAAGCAGTTAAAGGGAAAAAGAAGAGCTAGAATGCAATGAAATGATTCAGGAACTTAAGGAAGGAAAGGTCTGCATGCACATGTTTTACTTCAAAGACAAAGTAGCTGTCATCAAGAGATGGATTTACCTTCCTTTTGCATGGCCAGTCAGTTCATAAGATACTAACTTTTTGGCCACTTATTCTTCTGGTCTCTAACTGAGCTATTGGAATTTTTTTGGTTTAGTAATTTGAAACCTTTAAATAGGAACAAAATGTTTTCAGGTAGTTTTAAATACACTAAAAATGTTTAACACATGAAATTACTGGAATCAGAAATGTATTTATTGAATATATAATTGTATAGATTTCTTTGGAAAGTAAGTTACCTGAAACTTACATCTATTAAAAACATGGATTACTTTGAGTCCTTTTTGTTCTTACTTGGAATAATGACAATAAATTTTCTACATGAGGAATATGGTTACACTTCCAACAAAAAATCAGAAAATAATAGAAAGCTATAGTTCTGCTTATAATATTCAATTCTCTAACTACTGAAACTATATAATTTTTAAAGCTCACAAAAACAAAAATATTTAAATTCTCATAAGTTTATTTTGGGATTATTTGTTATTCTTAAATCTTATTGCTAATAAATATTACAATAGAAAAGTGGCTGAGTTGGTTGAGCATCTGACTCCGGCTCAGGTCATGATCTCACAGTCTGTGAGTTCAAGCCCCATGTCAGGCTCTGTGCTGACAGCTCAGAGCCTGAAGCCAGCTTTGGATTCTGTATCTCCCTCTCTCTCTCTGCCCCTCCCCCGCACTTGCTCTCTCTCTCTCTCTCTCTCTCTCTCTCTCTCTTTCTCTCTCTGTCAAAAATAAACATTAAAAAATTAGAAGAAAAATATTTTTCTTAAAAATAATTTCTAAAAAAAAAAGCAATAATTATGAAGACAAGATAGATAAAATGTAATACTACAAAAATCATGATCATAACCTGTGTTTAAGGGTCTTAGAAATGCATGAATTTACAAAATAATCTGAAACAACTTTTTAGCATTAAAATATTTTCCAATAATTTTCTAGAAGCCATTTAGTTTCCTGTTTATTCAGGCTACTCACTCTTCCATTCTTCCACCTCTCCAAATAGGGTAACTTCTATTTAACTTATTTTGGTAAGTAATTACTGGCATACCACATAACTAGTTCCTACTAACTTCGAAGGAAGGTGCAATAGAAGCACTAAGTTAACACAGAAGTTATGGTTTTCTCTCTTGCAAAAATAACTTTGGTCCAAAACTCATGGCCTATGCTTCTAGGTCAAATCAATGCCTCTAAGTTAAACCAAAGTATTTTAAAATTTAAAAATAAATACCAGGAAGACTTCAACTTTTTTTTTTTTTTTTTACTATTTTCAGTTTAAGGGTTCCTAATGCATTTGGCTACTACCTAATCCCTCACAAAGCAATTACTGCCTTTTAGCAACTTAGATATTGATAAAATTGAAGGAAAACAAATAAGAAAGAGATATATGCAGCCAGAATACTCAAGTCCATGCATTTTACTGCTTACCTAAGTAATAAGTAAATTGATACTTGAATGTGATGGAGTGAACCACTCTAAGAGACTTCAAAAATACATTGAATTTTTAATGCATTTTTTTTTTAAAGTTTATTTCCTGAGAGAAAGAGAGAGAGAATGAGTGGTGGAGGGACAGAGACAGAGGGAGAGGATCCCAAGCAGGCTCTGTGCTGTCAGTGTGGAGACTGACGTGGGGCTTGAACCCATAAACCATTATTAGATCATGACCTGAGCTGAAATCAAGAGTTGGATGTTTAATCAACTGAGCCACCCAGGCACCCCAATGTACTCCTCTTTTAAATAAAAATCTTTCACTAGAAGCCTCATTTACTGTTTTAAGTCCTTTTCTTAAGACTTTTTAAAACAAAAGATTTTAATGTTTATTTTTTTTAATTTTTTAATGTTTTTATTTATTTTAATGTTTATTTTTAAGAGAGAGAAAGAGCGTGAGCAGGGTAGGGGCTGAGGGAGACCGAGACAGAATCCAAAGTGGGCTCCAGGCTTTGAGCTATCAGCACAGAGCCTGACGTGGGGCTTGAACCCACAAACCATGAGATGGTGACTTGAGCTGAATCCAGATGCTTACCCAGCTGAGCCACCCAGGCTCCCCTTATCTATTTCTATGGTTTCAATTACTTTATATATACTGATGATTCCCACATTTTTGCCTTTAGCCTATTCTCTCTCCTAAATTAGTCACTTATGCATACAACTGCCCACTAAACATTAACATTTGAATATCTCTCTGGCTGTTTCATGTACATTATGTGATGGGGATTTAGAGTGGTGGGGCTCCAGAGCTGATGGCCATTAAAGAATTCTTGAGATGTCTTTGATGCAAAAAGGTGATTTTATTAAAGCACTGGGATAGGACTCCTGGGCAGAAAAAGATGCACTGGGGTTGTGAAGAGTGACTGATTATATGCTATGTAGTTTGGAGAGGTAAAGGCAAAAAGGGAGGCTTTCAAAAGGACTTTCATATGCTAAAGATACCAGAGGCCTTGCTATTGTCAAGCTTAGGTTGTTTTCCCTCTGGTAAGACATTAAGATAGTAGAGAGTCCTGGAGAAATGTTACACATACTCTGTATTTACCTCAAGAATTTGTCAATGGGCTGCAGGTTATAAAGAAATTTAACTATGCATATCATTTCCTTCTTGTCTTTGTTCCCCACATCACTATGGAGGGGAGGGTGATGTTAGGGCTCCAGGAAACTGAGTCTATAGGTTTTTGGAGATTAAGCTATTTATAAGATTGCCTTTTTCCTATAATTTATGAAGACTTTTTTTTAATATAATTGTCAAGTTAGCTAACAAATGGTATATACAGTGTACTCTTGGCTTTGGGAGTAGATTCCCAT